AATTATTTTGGGTTAGTAAGACTAGTGGAGGGTAGTATGACAATTTCATATTGTCTTAAGACCAAAATCCAAACAAATGCATTAGTTGTTGTTTTATGAGAGATAGAAGTATCATAATATTAAAACACATAAAGAGAGAGAGCGAGAGAAAGAGGTCTTAGATGAGAAGAGGAAACAAGAACACAAGAGCAAGCTTGGGTTTTGGGTTTGTTGGAACATCAAGAATCACTCAAACATCTAAGATAAGGGGTTTGATTTTCCAATGCTTATAGTTAGGGTTTGATTTGGTATATTTTGGATTTGGGGGAAAATTGATGTTAGGGTTCTTGTATTTTGTTGAGATAAATTAGGAGAGTTAATTTATGTGTTAGTGTTGTGAGATTATTATTATGTTAATAGAAATTAAATTAGAAGAATTAATTATATTAATTAATTAAGTTTACTAAATAATGCAGTATAGTTTAGTTATATATAGTTTATAAAGAAACTAAGGAAAATTAAAAACTCTCCTAAAGACTAACAGTAGATTAGATTACGTTTCCTAAATTTATTTAAAAGTATTGTTTAGCATGCGTAATATCCTAAGTATTATGCAGTATAGTTAAAAACAAAGAAAGAAGTAGCAGTATAGTTTTGAAACAAAAATGAAAATTATGCAGTATAGTTAAAAACAAAGAAAAAGAATAGCAGTATAGTTTTGATAAAACTGAAACGTTAACTGACAATAGACATAATGGAAAAGTAAGTTTAGAAAAATGAATTAATTAATTTATGTTTTGTTTTGTTTTCTTAAATTAATATATTAAATATTTATATTAACTAAATATAAATATGACATAAGTTAGCCGATTTAATTTAGAATCCGATTATGTTCCGATTTCCCGATTTCGGCAATTTCGGCGACGGAGCAAGTTGCTCCGAATTTAAAGAAAATTGATGTGCTAGCTAATTTTTATGTGTAGAACGTCGTGGTGAGGTTATTTTTTCGAGATTACGAGTTTTTAACGGAGCGACCCGAAATAAGTCAATTTACGGTTAAGTTGATCCGGGTTGCATTTTAGTCGGTTTAAGTCGCGTATGGATAATTCGATTGCAATGTTAATGTTTATAATTGATGCCGATTATTATGAATGACTTTTGCGACGATTATTGATGTTTGACTATTTTTCCGTGTTTGAAATTTAGTGAATTATTTGATAATGATGTGGTGTGATTAAACATGATGTTTGCGACAGTTTATTTATAATGAATACTTGATGATAGGCGCTGCGATGATATGTTTATCTTGATGTGGATGAATATGGCGACGTGGGTTTTATACCAATTTTGATGTGCGATGATGATATTTTGTTGTGTCGAGTTTGTGATGTCGTGTTGTCGAGTCACATACATTGCATTGGCGACGAGGGCTTTTATGCCAAGCGACGAGGGCTTTATGCCAAAGCGACGATGGGATTTTATGCCGGATGTCCCTAATTATAGACAAAGTGACGAGTACCACATGCATAACATAGTCGTGTCTCATGGAGTCGGTTATGTTTATTTTTGAGTCTTTTGGCGTTGAGTTTTATTTCATGGCTTATAATGAATTGCGATGTTATATGATACCTTGTTTTGTGATGATTTTTGTGTTGAACATAAAGTGATTATGATGTGATAATTTCATGGAAATTATGCGATGGATATAACATGAAGATAAAGCGACGATATGAGTTTATGGAAATGGAGTTTATGTCATGTTTTAACATGATTATGGTGATTATGTGATGATATTAAAGTGTTGATCGTATACATTAAATAATGATTTTAAAGTATGTGAGATTTGATATTTGTTGACATATTCTTATTAACTTATATCATTTATGATTTCAAAACTATTTATATATTTTATCATGCCTTTAATTATATGTTTTGGAGTATCTCACCCTTTACTTGTCGTTGCCTTTATATTGGTAACGTGCAGGTGATCCGCGAGGATGATGAGGATTAGCTTGAGTCTCTTTATTTTGAGTCGCTCTGCTCTGATAGTAGTAACACTCGAGATTTGAGCGACGTTATTATTTTGATAGGATAGTTTATGTATAATATCTTATGACTTTATGTATTGATGATAACATGATGATACATATATTTTGTGAACACATCCACTGTGCTGTGATTAGTCATATGTTTATATGATGATTTATGTTATGAATCGATATATCCGACTTTTGATTTTTGTGATGTGCATTATAATGCAAAGTGATGAAAAACACGAATATGTGATACCTCAATTTATGTTTGGATGAAATTTTGAAACTCTGATTTTATTATTAATTACGAGGGGTAGAATTTGGGTGTTACAATCTTCCTCAGTGGAATCAATTCAAGATCTTCTCAGCAAACCATGGAAAACTTTCCTCTTCACCACCATCTAAAGCGACCACTTATATCTATTCCTCAAACTGGGTCTCGCCATCTCCATCATCTATCACATGTCCCACTTTTTCTACCTCTCAATCTTTTACCAGAAGCCACAAAACCATTACAATCAATTATCCCTAAAACAAATGGTCTAATCTCTACGATTTGTGACAAGAGGGTGCAACATAACCCTATTGGCTCCCCATGAGCGAAGAGATGGAAGGTCAGGCAAGCACATTCAGGCGGTGTTCCAGTACAAGAGGAAGCTTGATGCGCTGACAGTAGAGGATGTCATTTAGACACCCCTTACACATATCACAAAGTCCATCGCGAGTTTGATGAATCTTCTCTATTTTCTAGATATATATGGTGGGAGACCTTAGTGGCTAAACACTTATCTGAGAGGTTTATGTGCCAGCATGGATATGTCAAGGGAACCCAACGGCTAATTCTTGTCTTTCAAGCTTCAGGAATTGACAAATGGTTTCAAATTATCATCATCATCTCTTCTTGTGCCATTAGATATAATGCAATGAAGGTTCAACACACTGCATAGTGTGAGGATGGTTACCTGGAATGGTACCTTAATGGATCATTCCCTCGCATCATCCCACATGTTGAGCATATGGATGATGATGTTGTGTCTTCCAATGTTAAGGCACCCTCCGATGACGTGCCATCACCTTCACTCTGTATTGATGACCAACAACGTCTGTAGATGATCGTTGTTATTATGGATAACCTCATGGGTTTGATAAACCCATATGGTGAGGTTTTTATCATATTATCGCAGGCAACACACATAGCCCGTGGGGGACCTATTTAGCTACTTGATTTTACACTATATTATTTGTATAATTTGTAAATCAGTCTGTTTAACACCATACTGTTTATTGCATACTATTTTATTGATTACTTGTTTGGAAGATGAACATAACTTACGCATTACAACTAATGTAAATTAACAATAATAAATAACAAAACCTAGACACTATCCGATGATTCTGGACATTTTAACATTTTGATTATGTTGTCAACATATCTTGAAATTATCGCATCAAACTCGATTGATTCCTTAGCTAGCCTACGATGAAATGTTCTCCACATAACCTTTAAATATTTATCGATCTTCAACTTAATAAGTTTGTATTTCACCTTTCCATCAATATCAATCAAGTCTGCACAAAACTCAATCTTACCCATCTTTCTATTCTCGGTGTTGGGTAACAAATCATTCAACTTGGATCTTAAGACGGCGAGACATGTGGTGTCATTAGGAAGCCGAAACTCTATAGGATGTTTCACCCCGTTGAAGTACACTCCTGACTTAAACGAAAATTGAGGTATTGTAAGATGTTTTCTTAACAACACATGACCCCTTATTTATACAACTTTGAATTTATTATGGACCGTGCAAAACGGACGGTGCAATCACAGTTGAAAAATACCGGTAAAATCGTAATCATTGAAAATTTGACTTACCAAAAATTTAATTTTTTTGAAATCTCCAATACGACATGAACTTTTTCCAAAATACCGATATTAGTTCAAAGATAACGGATTAAAAAAAACCTTCATGATTTAATATTGACAATTTAAAAATACACTACCGGAAATTTATTTATTGTCGAAAATTTATAATCAATTATCAAAAATTTCACTAGTATTTTTTAATTCAAATTTGTCTATAGATAATTTAAAATTAATAAAACATGGATAATTTAGAAATTAATAAAATATGTGAGATGCCAAATTTAATTTTAGGGTGAAAAAAGTTTAATTCTCTCAAAATCTTTATAAATAAGAATAAGATGAAGCTTTATCAGCCCAATACAAATGTGATTGGGACTTTTATGGCTCTTTTCAATTAATAGATCTTTATTTTGTTAAGAAAATTTTAATTGTAGTTTATAAATCTCCTTTACCAAGGGTAATGAATGATATCTAATGTATACTAGCTCTACAATTTAGTTTTCTTCTAAGAAATTTATGGATCTAGCTTCGATTTGTATGAGATGTGAGTATTTGTCATCAAATAAATAACTATTCGGAAGAAGAAGAAAAATACCTATGCCGGCCTATGACACTTGGATGGAGTCAATAGTTAATTAAGATGGTCCATCACTTAGCCAATTGGCATAAACTTTAGAAAATCAACATATTTAATATCATTAATGAATTCATAAAAGATTAATCGTGGTGTTACATCTTTCCATAAACTTCTAAAATTCTTATATATATATATATATATATATATATATATATATATATATATATATATATATATATATATATATATATATATATATATATATATATATATATATATATATATATATATATATATATATATATATATATATATATATATATATATATATATAATGTACTTCTATTTTAATATATATACTTAAATCAAAATATAGAGGGCTAAGTAGATTCTTATATTCCTTTGCACCAACCTAAAATAATGTAGAGACGTTTATGCCACTAACAAGTTAATCCACTTCACATGTGTGTTTAATATTATATGTGTTTTTATATAACATACCACATACATCTTTTTCCATTCATAAACCTCAAAATTTCAATATTCAATGTCATCTTCTTTCTCCTTGAAATCATTTCGAGATCTTCTCAATAAACCATGGAAAATCTTCCTCTTCCCCACCATCAAAAGCGATCATTTCTACCTATTCATAAAATTAGGTCTCACCATCTCCATCATCTTCCTCATCTCCCATTTTTTCTACCTCTCAATCTCTTACCAAAAGCCACAAATCCATTATAATCCATTAGCCCTAAAACAAATGTTCCAATCAGAAATTCCCAAAACCCTACCCCCAACTTCCAGCCCACCTCAAGATCCAATTCCAACCAACCTCTCACACATCGTCTTCGGAATCGGCGGAACCTATTCCACCTGGAAGAATCGTCGTCACTATAGCGAACTCTGGTGGAACCCTAATGTCACACGAGGCTTCGTCTGGCTCGATACCGCCCCGCCGAAGAACGAAACCTGGCCGAAATCATCTCCGCCCTACAAAGTGTCCGCCGATACATCCTCATTTAAATACACATGCGATTATGGCTCTCGTTCAGCAATCCGCATTGCACGGATACTAAAAGAGACATTTAATCTAGGGTTAGATAATGTGAGATGGTTTGTGATGGGTGACGACGACACAGTATTCTTTTCTGAAAATCTAATCACGGTGTTGAACAAATATGATCATAATCAATTGTATTATATTGGTGGAAATTCGGAGAGCGTGGAACAAAATATTGTGCATTTTTACACGATGGGTTATGGTGGCGGAGGGTTTGCTATAAGCTACCCTTTAGCGGCGGAGCTGGTGATGATTTTGGACGGTTGTATTGATCGGTATGCAGATTATTATGGATCTGATCAGAAAATTCAAAGTTGTATTAGTGAAATTGGAGTCCAGATTACCAAAGAACCTGGTTTTCATCAGGTACTTTTTTTCTTTTACTTTTTCATTAATTTCATTCGATATTATACACTTTAAATTCGATTAAATTCCATATTAAGCATTATTATTATTTTATTTTTTCCAAAAATATTTTTTGATTAAGTTTTAATTATTAGTCATTAATTCATTAATAACTTTAGATTTTTATTGCAACTATTTTTACCATGGTCATTTGTTTGTTTGAAAAATATTAATAGTAACCTTAGATTTTGATTGAAGTTTGATTTTATTTAAATTATTTATAAAATAACATGAATGAATATTGTGATGTACAGAAGATTGTAAAGAATTTAGTGCATATCAATAAAAAATATTCATAACCCTATACAATATACTTTGAATAGAATTGTATATTCATAGAAATAATCAAAGAAATTAAAGTTCTTCAAAAAATGTGATGATATATTTAAATGTATTTTCCAACTATTCAACGAAAGATTAATATTTTTAATATCCCTATACACTTTCAACAAACAAAGGCCAATCGGACTCAAACAAAATAAAAGCCAGTTAGACTCGATTCTTCTAAACTTTATTATTTATTTTTTAAAAAGTTAAGTATATCAATTTACAATAAAATTAAATGTATAAACTTTGATAAAAAATATTTTAAACTATTAAACAATACATTATTACCTTTTTATTCATTTCTTTAATTTAAGAAGAAAGAGTTTTATAGTAGAAAATAGCTTTACAGTTTTATACTGTAATTCAATAATTTTAAAACAATTTTAAAATTTAAAGATAATTTGATAAAATACACGTCTGAGATTTATTGATAGTGTAATATAAATATTATTAAAAATAGTTAAATTTTAATTATTTTCTGTAAAAAAAATGCACGTTCTAATACATTGTATTTGATTTGATTTTCTTATTATGACGATATTATACCTTTATTAAATTTTTTTATAAAAATTTTCCATAATTAGAATTTTCCATATATATATATATATATATATATATATATATATATATATATATATATATATATATATATATATATATATATATATATATATATATATATATATATATATATATATATATATATATATATATATATATATATATATATATATATATATATATATATTAAATAAAAATAATATAAAAAAGTAGTTATTTTATTTATTTCTTAAAATAAAAAAATTATAACATATCACCGTTGAAGAATGAGTAATTTTAAGAGAAAACTTAAATATAATTTTTTATGTGTGATTTGTACTATTTTTCAATAAAAATATGACAAGTGTATAATTTTTTACTACACATGTACTTTTTTTTTTTTTTTTTACTTTTTAAAGAATATTTAAATAGATTTATTATATTTTCATTGAAAAATAGTATAAACCACACATAAGAAATTGTAGATAAGTTTTCCCCTTTTTTAAATTGTGAAATAATCATACTAAATACGTCTTCATATCATTTTTTTATCAACAACATTTGCCTTCAAATGAAAGTACCAGGGATATTTCAACTCGAATACAAAAGCATGATAAAGTAACGTAAATACAATCACCACTTAAGAAAGTCAAGTGGGTTAGTGCACCATTAGTAGAAATATCAATTTATTCTTCCTTTTGCGTAATGGTCAACCACCACCAAATAAACATCTTAACTTTAAAAACAATATCATTGACATCCTCAATGGCTTCCTTGAACAAAATTTTGTTTCTTCGACAACATATGTTTCTACAAACCGCAAGTCAAATCACATCTACCGTCTTATTACAAAACCGACCCTTAATCAATGAAATAAACTTCAGCAAATGATCACAGCAGTTATCTAATAACACAGGATCAATTCCAATCCACACCATAATTTTCTCCCAAATTATCCTAATCCTTGAATAGGTTATCATAAGTGATTCAAATCTTCCATCTATATGAAGTATAAAACACACATCAAATCATTGGACACATATTTGTATCAATTACATATCATCTTGATTTTTTCTAAATTATCATATACTATGCATCATAGACACACTTTCTAACATCAAAATAAAAATTTTAGTTAAATTTTGTTTATTTTAATTAATATTATTTGGAAATAATTTTTATAAACTTATTTATACTACTAGCTTCATTTTATTCATTTTATTAATAATGTTATCAATAACCTTGAAACTAACTATTTAATATGAATTTTTAGGTGAAAGTAGGTAGCTAATTAATTCATTTATTATTTTGTGACCACAGATTGATGTACATGGAAGCCCTTATGGGTTATTGGCAGCACACCCAGTAGCACCATTGGTTTCTTTGCATCATTTAGACTACGTGGACCAATTTTATCCAGACATGGACCGAATAGATTCACTTAAAAAGTTACTTGCCGCTTATAAAGCGGATCCAGGTAGGACCATCCAACCGAGTTTCTGCTATGACCACACCCGAAATTGGACGGTGTCCATTTCTTGGGGCTATAGTGTTGAATTGTATCCCTATTTTCCCACAGCCAAAGAGCTTGAAACACCGTATTTGACCTTCAAAACATGGAAGACTTGGAGCGATGGTCCATTTACAATAAATACCCGACCCATTAGTTGGGATATATGTAGAAGGCCCCTAATATATTTTCTAGACCAGATTGATGTGGAACAGGAGAAGACTCAGTCTAATTATAAAAGATACCCCAGCCCAATACATTATGAATGTGAGCATGCTGATTACGTGCAACCTTTAAAAATTCAATATGTGAATGTTTCGGCTCCTAAATTTTCTGCTAGCTTGTGGAACAAGGTAAGAAATTTTGCTCTCATTGTTACATATTTAAAAAATTAATTTAGTTTTATATATTTAGAAAGTTAATTGATGTCTAACTAAGATTGAAATGTGATGAGTAAGCAGGCGCCACGTAGACAATGTTGCGAAGTAATCAATAGTTCAGATAGTCAAGTAATCAACGGCTCAGATAGTGTGATTCAGGTGAATGTTAGGGCATGTCAACAGTTTGAGAGTGTAACTCCTCATTAAGAATTTACAATTCCTTGAAGAGAAGGAAATGAATTTATGAAGTCTTTAATAAATGAAGACTCAAAAGGAGTATTGACTCAAGAAGTGTATGATGCAATAGGAGGATGAATTGATCGTTAATGTTCATTAGCAAGAGAATTCTTTAGGCTTGCTAAATATTCAAATTAATATGTGCACATATTTAAAGTGATTTTGTAGAATTATGTGTTACTATGGAGATTATTTCCTTAAGTCTGAGATGATTATAGTAGATATACTTAAAGTTAACTTTTTTGATTAAATTGAAAGAAACTATCATTATTATATTCAAACATTATGGGTTAGAGATCCATATAATATCTGGAAACATTTTTCTATCAACAACTTTATAATGTATTTTTTTAATGAATTTTTGGTACTATAGGCATTGAATTTTTAAATAAAGAAGAGGTGTAGTGCTCCAAGACATTGTTGTGTTATTAGGTGATCCAACCAACGACGTGCTCGGAGGTATGATTTGAAACAAATATTAGTGGTTTAAGTTATTCTAACTTGTTATATATTCAAAGGTGTGAATAGTTCAACAACATATACATTTTTGGTTCAACAACACATATTTACTTAATATAAGAAAATTAGAAAGAAAATACATAAAATTAAGAATGATTTTTATACTTAATTAAAGTAGGTAGCTATGTGAGTCATCTCACATGGGGATGGATTTGCTCAAACATACAATAATAAGATAGCTAAAAAATCGTTTTAATTCATAAACATGGGAGACAATATAGAAGATAACAATATTAAGATGTATTTGCTTCAAGTTTGAATTTGCATCAAAGCATGATACATGGAACTACTTCGATGCTCAAGTCAATGATTGTTGATAGCGAAAGATATTTTTAAGGTAAAGTATATGTACCTTGGTTCAAGAAACTGGAAATCTTCTATGCATGACAATTGTCTCAGGAAGACAATAGTTTAATACTTTTTGGTTAGTGATATTTTAGTTCTCTTTCAATCGTTTGTCTTGGATCAGATGCTCTTCCAAGATAATTTCATGCTTGTTATTGAGGCTCTAAAACTTTCCCCGAGTCCAATGGGAAAAATGGGACGTCCTTATCATGGTGTCGTCCATTTAACATCACATCAATTAATCAATGTTAGATTCATTTTACTCTTGATCAAATAGTTTATTGTCTTTTTAGAAATTTAAGTCCCTTAGAAAAATTTCTATTTGGGCTTGATCATTCTATCATTGAGCCTTCTCTACATGCTAAAACAATAACCTCCAATTCTAATATAAGGTGATTTCTCATCCCACCCTTACTATATGGGACTCATTTTTTAAAATCTAAAAGATACCATTGGATGAATTCGAAGATACATCTCCGGACGCATCAAATCTCATTTTTTACAAAAATTTAGTTCGGAAATACTTCTCTGGACAACCCTAATCTCATTTTTTTGCAAAAATTTAGTTTGGAAATATATCTTCGAATCTCCGAAGATACCCTTTTATAATAATTAATCATATTTATGAGGCCGACTTTTAAATGAAAAAAACCTAGAGTAGCTTATAAACTTATCTTGTAGGGCATGTAAAATATAAAAAACATTGGACCAACATTATTATTGACTTTATGACATGAATATAGTATTAATGTAACAAGATTGAGACCGTGAATAAAATTAATTTTATATATCTTTTATTGAGTTTAATTAGATTAATAATTAAGATAATAATATTAATTAAAAATTAATAAAAATATATATTTTTATCTGAAAATAAATGCTTATAAGTTAATAGCATCGTTTAGAATATAGTTTTTCAAATTTACAATTTTAAAAGATATTTTTAATCATTTATTTTTTATTTTGATTCTTATAACTTTTTTTGTCTTTATTCTTATTTAATATTTTCTATAATTTTTTTATAATAATTAAATATAGGTATATTTATTATAGAAATCTTTTTTTTATATATAATTTATTGAACATTAATATATTTATTGGGCATATAATTCAATAGATGGAATTGGAATTTTTTTATTGAGAAATTGATGGTAATTGGAACAAATGTATCTTCAGAGATACATCTCCGAATTAATCTATGGTGAATTCGGGGATTGAGTGAATTTGAAGATGTATTTCTAAACTAAATTTTTTCAAAAACAAATGGCATTTGGTACATTCGGAGATGTAATTCTGAAAATAGGAGACATTTTAGAAATTTCATGCAGGGTTTGAGAGAATGTATAAGGGTGTAATGAGAAATTGCCCTAGTATAATGAGACTCAGTTGAGACTATCCTTTGTGTTTTTCAAGGAATGACCTGTGGATATGGGTCACACTTTTTCGACCCTTCATGCTTACTGTGAGTTATCCTCTTCGGCCTTTATGGATTTTTTATTATTTTAATGTCCTTGGTCCATGTGGGTTTGTCATATGGGAATTTTCATATTGCTTAAGGTAATTTTCGAATATTCAACTCTTAACTCTTAGTATCTTCTTTTATTGCAACATTTTTTCTTAGGCATGCCTTTATGAGTTTTAGGTAAGTTACCCCTGTGCCCATATGAGATAACCATGGCGTGAAAAATTGTAGTTGTAATGATTTCATCATAGTTAGCATTTTGTGGTTGGTATTTTGTTGAAATTTCCTTATAAATAAGAATTCTCTTATTCATTTATGTTTTTTTCATTTCCTTTGTCTCTTACAATCTGTCAATTTAATTTCCATAATGATTCATTCACTTTCTCTTATTTATTTGATTGGATTCCATCAAGTAATTGCTTTCGGATGCTTTATGTTAGTGTGGACATCTTTGATAAGGTCCTTTTTTTTTTAATTTCAGGTGTTATGGAATGGTGTGATTAGATTTTCATTGAGTTTTCTCCTGTGTGGTTGGTTATAGTAGTGTGATCCTCCACTCATGGTGGTGTTGGCCTTCACCCAATGTGGTTGTGGCCTATTTCTTCTTTGCTTAGTTTATTGTCTCCGTGAGGGGGTTGTATGGAAAGATAATAGGGAAATGTATAGTTGATGAGATAACGTTAATGTTTAATGCATTTCTTTTGAGAAGATATCTACGGGTGAATGTCATTGGTAACTCTCTTATGAACTTATTGTACTTGAGGAGTTAACGGTCTTAGAAGGTCTGGCCGACCTCATTTATATTGGTTGTAAGCCCATTTATTTATGTCATGAAGACATGTGTAATCGTCTAACATTCATGTTACCAGCTTTGATGTAACACCCCAATTATATCCGACAATTATATGAATAAATCAGAGTTATAAAAGCATTTATGCAAACGAATCGGAATGTCACAAATTCATCATTAAAAACTCATTGCATTCATCGTGGATATATAACACTTTAAAACTTCGGATGAACCATCAGCATAATACTTTAATTAAACAATTAAACAATGTAAATATCTACGCAGCAGAATTCTTAATAACATCTTTATCATCGTTACAACAACTTCAAAACAACAAATACTTAATAATAATCAACTTAAAGTTCAATGACTGAATAATTAACAATCAAAAGCAACAAGCGTTCATCCCCCCGAGTGTTACATATCAGAGCAATGACACCGACTCGAACTACTGAAGGTATGCAACCTTCACTCTCGATTACCTGCATGTTACCAACGTAAGGGTAACATTCAAACATAAGGGGTGAGATATCTAACAATATAATAAAGCGCATGATAATTAATATATTAAATTAGATCACATAACATCACCACTTGTCATCTCATAATCAACAATAATCACAACAATAATACACATTCATTTATGCAATCATATAATGCGGCTCAATACTATGCAAATGCATGTGGTACCATTGGAGAAGAACTCCCATCTCAAAAATTGCCAATTAATAGAGGCATCAACAAGGCATAAGCCTTTATCTCAATATTCGCCAATACAGGTCATCTCAACGAGCATAAGCTCCATCTCAAAATGCAATGTATGCAACATAATCATGAATGTAATGACAACACCATAATTGACAACATCTTAATACAACACCATCATTGGCAAAAAGCCTACATCTTAAAAGCATCTCAACATCTCTTCATCAACATCATTCATCGACATCGTTTATCATCATAAATCATCAAACATCATTTATACATCATAATTCATTAAAACAAACTCTCATTAGTATCATCTCATCAACAACTCAGTTGTACAATAATGTAACGGTAACTCATCAATTTCACAACATTGGCCATAGGCCTATACAAGATATTGCCTGTAATTAGTTAATCAACTAAGACTTACTTCTAAATCACCAAATCTCTACATACTACTATTCTATAATACTACATCAGTATCATAATTAATCCTACTATTACAAACCAAACAGTAATCTATAAATGTCTCATCTTCATCCTTCTTCACAAAAACCAACATAGCAATTACCGCGGGAACTAACTCAAATCTTAATTTAGATACTAGGGTTATCCTTCCCATTCTTCATTTTAATCCTTAAGAATAAAGCTCATCGCGTTAGCTATTCAATGCTTCGAACGACACCTCAAACAAAGTCTGAAAACTCAAGTTACAACATTCTCAAACTGATTCTGCCAAAAACCAGACAACATGGATTGACGCATAACGTCTTGGATCGACACGTACTGCACTGAACTTGCAACATGAGTCGACGAATCCTCTCTTGTATCGACTCATACTGGGTCTACCACATAACATGTATCGATGCATGCTCCTACGTATCGACTCATCCTGAGTCTAAAAGTCCTCATGTATCGATGCAAGGCTCCTTCGTGTCGACTCATCCTGAGTCTAAAGACCATCTTGTATCGATACATACCATTTGGGGTCGACGCATACTGCTTTGTCATGGGAAATTTCTGCGATTTTCTATGCGTTTACACTACGGGTTCCATACTTTAAGCCCTAAGAACCTAATCTAATCATAGATAATCATCACTGACAGTTATCCTATAACTCTACATCAATTAAACAACATCGGGACATCA